CAATTCCTCCCAATACACCTGTTAGTTATCAGTACTATGATAAAACAAGCTTAGCACTGAAAGAAAATACGATCAATTGAATTTCACTTCAAATCTTAAAGTCTGGCAATCTTAACCACATACATATTATGTTAGAAAATCCTTTCACACACATACACAGTATTTGAAGCTCTCACTATATAGGACTCAAGGAAAGAAAACTATTCTACACAACACTGAGAAATCATGTAATTTGAAACTCACATGGTTAAGTAATGTAGAAAGCTTTGATCCATCTTGAATATTCTTCTCCAAAATATTCAGGACTTTTACTGTTTTGTCTGTTGAGAGCTAAAACAAGAAAAGAAACACATCAAACAACTGCAGGAACATAAAGGCTTCCAAATTGCTGGAAAGAATATCCATGGATGAGGTATAGAACTTGTAATCTGAAGCACTGATATTGTAAGCAATTTGAGATAAGGCAGATGCTGATAATGTAATCAAACTAGGTGAAATATAGTCTAAGATTGCAAACAAACTGCATTTTCAACCAGCAAAGTCTACAGAAATAGATTTATTTAAAATTTAAAATTGCAGAACTGTTGTTAATGTTGTATAGTTACGCACTTTTGCTTCTAAAACAGAAATTGACCAAATCCAAGTATTAATCACAGATTCTAACTGACCATATGAAGTTTTTTATCAGGAGAAAATCCAAATTCCATGAATATGTAGAACAAGAAGATACCTGAGGGCTAATAAAAGGAAATGTATTCTTGACATTAGTGTTAACTTTAAAAAACTAGCATGTTGAAAAAAATCAATCAAACTCACTGACCATCTACAGAATTATGATTAAATAATTTGTAGAATATGCTAAACTCAAGAGAGCCAGCTTCATTCATGCAGATGCTACTGGCACTCACCTTTAGAAGCAACAAAATTCTGATTTTATATATGCATGTATGTATTTATGTACGTATGTATGTGTGAAAAATAGAAGACAGAGGCTAAGGGTGAGGACTATCAGGAAAGAGAAACACTCAGGCTGACAATATGCTACAAAGCAAGGTAGGGAGATTGAAGAAAAGTTTAAGAAGAATTTCTAAGGTTTGGATTAAGGAAAACCCAGCTTCATAGACACTTCATAAATGTAAGTGGTCACAAGCAGGCAGAGTAAGAGTTTAACATAAAACAGCTTAAAGCAGAGTTCGAGGAAAGTGAAAGGAAAGCAAGAACGTTGTTTCTAAAGATGTAATACCAATAATTTGTACCAACAAAAAGTTCCTCTGAAATGAAGTCGGGAAGAGTATTGGCAAAGAAAGCACAATATGCATTCTACAGAAAATTAATCTTATTATCACTTGCCATGTTAAATCTTCTAAATTTGAAAGGCCTTTTTTGAGAAAAGAAGGGAGCATGCAATTCGGTGTGATGCTGGCTGGACATAATACTTTTATGATGCACCAATGGCATATATCAGAAAGGGTGAATTTTTTCCCTTTGCCATCAGATTATGATTTACTGTAGTTGCTCAACACCAGCCATATAAAGCTAAGCCTACAAGTTGATGTGCTTTTGTGAAAGTATATTAATTATTTTAGATTTTACTGCTCAGACACAGGTATTATGCATTGGCACACAGTCAGCACTGAGGCAGTGAAGGACCATTTAACAACGCCCTCAGCTTCAGAGAAAGTAATAGTTAAGAAGTGGTAACAATTAAGCATTTCAGCTAAGTCAGTAAAAGCACAACTGTTTACTCTGTCACATGTGCACCTGAAAAGGGTGGGAAGTTATCAGAGGAGACCTAAGTTTTTGTGTATTTATCAAAAGTATATGACCAAAAAGAGTTAAAGACTATGAAGATTTACCTTGTCCATAATGCCCATTGCCTTGATTTTTGCAGATTCACTACCCAACTCACTAAGCTGATGTTTTCCAAGCAGCAATTCCTGTGGAATCTCATCATCATCGCCTTTAAAAAACAAACAAACCAACCCCAGTCATGTTTCTAAAGAAACTTCAAGGAAGGCAGCCAATATGAAAAAAAAACAACTGAAGAAGAAGAACTGATTTTCCAAATAGCTACCATCTAATTGTTCCACCTAGGGAAGACTGATAATGACAACTTTTGGTTGTGTTAAACAACTACTTGTTAAATATGACTGGTTCTGAAATACCATTTAACAGCCTAACATGAGGCATCCATTTTTAATATAGCAAAATCCATTTATTGGAGCTCTTGTGCCATCACCCTCATTTCAGTAAAATGAATCTTAAATGATTATAGTCCTAATCCTAAAGTTCAAATCTCAGGAAGAGCAGTAGATGAAAACCACGTATGAAATTAAGCATCTTGGGATACATTGTGTCTTAACTGTATTTACCCTCAGAAAAAAACCAGGAGGCTACCAGACAGGGAAAGTACCAATGACTTCACTTTCAAATCCAAGGTTGTATACATTACTGATTTAAAAACTGTAGTGATTTGTTTACTATGGTCCTCTCCATGTTCTAATCCTGTGATAAAAATGGCAGGGAAAAAAACCCCAACAAATGCTCTATTATCCATTTCAATAGAAAGCCACCTTGGTCAAAATGAACTAGTTCCTTAGATGCTTACACTAAACTTTCCACTGAGATGGTTAAGGAGCATATAGTTATTCAGCACCTCAGCAATAAACGCATAAGGACATGGCTACCTGAATTGAACAATCAAGCTCTGTTGGATTAAAAGCCATAAAAGATGCAAAATTATGTGCCTTGGACATTATTAGCAAGAGAAATATCTAACGCCATTCTTGTTTAATAACATATGTTTGACAGAACACTAATACCCTAATGACATCCCAAAGAGATATCCTTTCCACTCCAAGGGACTATTAGTTATCTCTTCATGATTTTTACAGGAAGGAGGATCTTCTTGCAGCAGCAAGTGAAACTGGAAAGGCCAACCACTCAAGGTAGAAGCCATATATAAGCAGTATGCCCAATCATGTGTCACAGGCAATTAAATCACCAAGTTGGAAGTTCGAAAATACTGATATACACATTTTTTGATGTTTCTTGTGTTTCTTATGGGGAAAAACATTTTGAAAATTTCTGGCATATTACCAAAAGCTGTAAAATCCATGTCTTCCAAGTTTTCCAAAATATTCTCTATTGAAGCAGTAAACCTTTTGAAAGTTGAAGAATCCATCATTTCTAGTGGAAAAAAAAAAAAGAAAAGGTATAAATAAGTAATTTATATACAAAACACAAAATACAAACTGTAGAAAATACATCTTCTAAATTTACCTTCAGGTGTTAGTTTAGGTTCATAAGCTTTCCTCTTCTTTTGTTTTTCTTTTTTCTTCATTTTTCTAGCCACTAATTAAGAGGACAAAGAAACAAATACTTTCTCAAAAATTAAATAAAGGATTATTTACATTTCTTACACTTGTATTCAGTACTGCATGTAAAGATGGGTTATTTTTAAATGTTTAGCATGTCCATTGAAAACGCACTAGTGTTACGGAACAAAATTGATTTTTTAAAATGATCAGTTACCCTCACTGAGGCTAGGGGGAGAAGAATAATCATCCATATCAGAGTCATCAGGACTGCGATTACGGTAACGGCCACTACCAGAAGTCCTCCTTCCTTCATGATAATGACCACTTCTTCTATGGTCACCAGAAGCTCTTCTGTCATGTTCTTCATACTCCCAAGCTTCATCTCTATCCTTTTTATGTCTTTTACGAGAAGCTAGAAATGAGATCCATTTCCGTTATAAATACAAAAAATTCAATTTTTAATAACTAAAAATTAAACATATTTAAACATATAAAAGATGTGTAGATGTGGCTCTCAGGGACATGGTTTAGTGGTGGGCTTGACAGTGTTGGATTAATGGTTAGATTCAACAATCTTAAAGGTCTTTTCCAACCTATGTGATTCTGTGATTTGCACATTAAACATGACTTTATAGCTGTTCTATAAAACAAGTAAATACTTTAAAACTATCATATCAAATTCTGTTACTGCATTATTCTAACTTTTTTTTTTTAGTTACATGAAAGCTGTGCCTGAAACTAGCAAAGACACCAGGAAATGTTCAAAACCATAATTTTACAGGGCATTTGCCCTTTTTAAGCAAAGTAAGGAAAGTGGAACAAATCAAAATAAGATCCATCTTTTCACTGAAATAATTTCTTCAATTATCTAAGTTGTAACTATTAGTGGGCGTTCAGATTCCTATTCAGTGATTGCTTTGCCTATCTAACATAACAAGTTCCAATGAAACTTGGTAATCTAGTGACTTAACAATACTCTGTTTTGCCAAAACAACTAAAATTTTGTCTTGATATATACTGCAGGTAATTCAGATTAAAGGAGAAAGCTGGAGTCACAATTCTGGGCCAGACAGCAAGTCAGTACTGCAGAAGGTTATTATAATCAGTTTTCATACAGGACCAAAAAGCCTAGAAGAAGTGAATGTTGAAGAAACAGAGATAAATGTGCTGTGCAGGTCAAAACAGTTGCAAACATCATATTCTAGACTAAGTAGAGTTTGTGAACCTGCATATATAACCCTGACACCTGTGTGTTTCTACCAAAGTTTCCTGAAGTTTAAAGAGGTATGACTGTATATAGGGTTGTTTCTGAGCTTCAAGCATTTATACAGAACTAGAACAAAACTGACAAGTTCTTCCTACAAAGCCAGTTTATTGGGAAGCATAGGAAACATCAGGATATATTCACACCTGATATACACACCAGGATATAGATATAGTCAGTAGTCAGCTCTGGCTCAGAATTAATAACAAAAAAAACCCCAAAACAAAACCAAAACTAATGTTCTGCACTGCACCCTAGAGAGCTCCCACTTCTGAAACGTAGTAAAAAAACTTCTGCACAGAGGTGATCCAAGTCTTTAAGGTAATAACTCAGTTCAGGCTTTGAGTTGTACTGTACTACTTCTGGATCAAACTTTCTTCTGGATGCAGTACAGTCATGTTCATGATGCCCGACTTACTAACATTGTCTAAAATGGTTGAGAGTTAACTGCAACTGGAGAAATGAAGGGCCATTCTGGATACCTGGAATGAATGTATTGAAGAAGAAGGTAAGTGTTTTAGGGGAAAAGACTACGCATCTGAACTGATTCTTCTTCCCCCACGAGACAGTATTTTGTGCAGGCAGATGACATCTGTCTCTACACTTTACAGATCATTATTATCAATTTAAGCTCTGTAAGACGAATTCTGACTCCAGCTACACCTACATGAGAAAACAATTTCCAATACTGCTTTCCAGCAGAATTCTACACTGACCATTTTTTTACTGTGGTATGACAAAACAGACTCTGTTACAGTTGTTCTGGCTCTCCAAGGCAACTAATATGAACATAGGAACAGCTATTCACAATCACTGCTCTACAGAATTTATCCTGAGGTATACAAAATTCACTAAAATGGTAAGTATTAGTAACATTGCAAGAGTTACTATCGATTTTATACATGAATAATGAGTATTCAGAATATAAACACCAAATTTCCTTCTGAATTCTGCCAAATATTTATGTAGTAACACATTTAGCACTTATTGTATGAGACTGATTCCATCAATTTTTGATTTCTAATAATATAAATTACTGGAATGTCCTTTTTCATAAAATGAAATAAATTTATTTTCTTCTATAAAAATGGCTATTTTTTTTGTATAAGTTCAATTTTAGACAACCGGTAGAATTTTGAAATATGTATTTGTAACAACACAGATCTATTCTGTGTGGTTATCACAAATCTTTCATTCCCTTGATCATTTTGTCTCATTTTAATTCAATTCAGTTCTACAGCATCCTTTGAGAAATACTGCAATTTATTTTTAAACCATATGTCCTTACTCAATTGTTCAGAATGATGGCCAGATCTCAAGTGGATATAATGAACCTAGAATCTCTTAAAGCATATAATTACTGTGAAAGTTTTCCTTAATTTGCTTTACTTTGTGTTTAAGAATTTCAACAGCCACTGTGGCTAATACGTGCGTTAAGGTATCTAAAATTCTTGACAATTCTCTCCATTCCCAAGCAACTTAAATAATTCTGTAATTTTTTTTTAATTCATTGTTCCAGATTATTAGCACCATAAACAGGTGATATGATATGATAAACATATGCAAAACATCATTAAGCCTTTGCCATAATCAAGACTGATTACAAATTACCTCAAGATCTCATACTCACGCTCAAAGCAGTGTTATCCAGTTACAATTAAAAAGAAAACCAAACAAAGTAACTCTTTTCTGCTTCTTTGATAAAGATCAGAGGCATCACTGTTATAATTTTTATGTGTATGTATGCATAAGCATATGCGTAACTGTTGGACAAGAACTTAAACATATTAAAAAGCAGAATAAACAAATCTTTTATGTTAGACATTAAGAAAGACTGAAAAGCAAAACATTGTGTTTCATAAACGTTCAGTGAAATGTTTATATAAGCAAAGGTGGAAAAAGTTTAACTGTGGAAAAAAAGCATGATAAGCAAGATTCCTTCTCAGGTTACCAGCAATAAGCACTTCTCCTGTAGCCCTGCATGGGTAACACAGCTAAGATGTTAACTCACACTGAACAGATTCCTCTGTTTTAATAGTTTCTCTTCAGTGTTGGCTAACCGAACTAACCATACTATTATTAGAAAGTAGGAAATCCGTTTCTAACTTAGAGGCACACAATTTCTTGAAACTTAGGAACTCGACCTGATTGATCAGCAAAATTCCAACTACAGGCTACCCCTCTTCCTTTGAAAACAGTTAATTCAAGAATAGTATCATCAGTAAATGGTATTTTGAAATCCCATCAAAAACAACTCCAGTTTTTCAAACATTATGCCAGAGAAATAATAGAAAAAATTCTTCTAGGCAGGAAGATTTTCAATTTATCATGCCAGAAATCCTTCATTAATTAATAAAAATAAGAATAATTTAAAATTTATTAATTGGAATTTTTCTCTGCATACCTTTGTATTCAAGTTTTCAGTGCTGCTTTAAAGGATATTTTCCTTAATCTGATTGGCTGAAAATGCTTCATAGTACAAGTGGAAAAAAAAATAAAAAATCTAGGCAGCGGCTTCCCATAAGGTAATTTGGAAAAGAAATTAAAGATCCAGCTGCTTCTCATCTTGAGTGATGAAATGAAATCAAGTTATTTTTCTTTTAAAAGAAAAAAAGGATTCTTGGCTAAGTAGTTGTCAGGAAACTTGTTTTCATATGTTTTTTGAATAGCCAACTTAAAAAAGAAGTATCTTTTTAGAAAAGTTAAATATTAGCTTTCTTTAGCAGTAGGAACAGAACAATGTACTACTTACATTCAAAAGCTTCTTCACTGTCATTGTCTTCATCAGAACTGATTTCAGCATATTTTGGTTTCTCATTAACTGTGCTACGTTTGCGCTTGTTCATTTTCACACGTTCACAAAGTGGCATGGTGGATTCAATTTCTGCCAGGAGCTCAGGAGGCAACTCCTTTAACACTGACTGATCTATGCTACCTATTAATGGAGAGTAAGAAGAGCAAATGTGAACCTGAAGATAAAAATAAGGGCCCAATACTTCAGTCCTTATTCAGGAAGAACTTAAAGTGTATCTACTAATAATATCACAGTTAGATATACCTGGTGGTATTTGACAGCTCTTTTTAAAGTTCTATTTATTGCTCACACTACAATTAGAAATTAGCATAACAAATTGCATATACATCTCCTTCAATAAACTATTCTGTCAGGCATATAAACAAATTCAAATTGGTGAATATCCTCTGTAGAAAGATATCCCTCCTTTACTTACACAAAATTTAGCCCTATTTCAGTTCATCCTCTGAATTTAACAGGTTTTCTAACAGTGCAGGTAAATTAGAAGATTCTTTGTGCCTCATTAACAGTTGTGTTTATTCTCATTCATACTATTTAGTGTACACAAGAGAGCAATTTTTCCTTTTCCAGTAAGAAGGGACAATCTCTGGCAGAACCTCTGGGGTCTTATCCCTAAATACAGGCCAAATCATTGTCAACCCAAACTCTGGCTCTGTCCTTTTTTCTTAAGTCCTACTTGTAGTTTTATAATGCAACTGAAATTTTTGCTTGATTTTGTCACAAAGCAAAGCTGAAAGATTTTTATTTAATATAGACCAACAGCTAGCTGGACAGAATCATGTTTCTTTTCCACAGAGGTAAACAGGTGGACAGTATCACACCATTCTCATCTCATTTTGAACTACGATTAGACCCATATACAGTGAGAATGGAGATTTACAGTCAAAATTCTTACAACTGATACAAGGAAAGCAAATTTATTCAAAGGTATTTCTTGGGGTTTTGTTTATTCAACATCTTACCTTTATTTATCAAAGAACCTACAGCAGATATTTGAAGATTATCAGACTACACTTAATCTTTTTCAGTAACAGAACCAACACCTTTGCCATAAGCACCTCTCTCTCCTTCCCAAGGCATACTACGTTATTTAGAGAGGAAATCACATGCCAAGTGCTATACATACACTCCTCCAAAAATCATGTTCTGGATGATAATTCACTTTTTAATTGCATTCATTGTATCACTAACATAACTTTCTAGAATTTATTTACACTCATATCCTACCTACTAACCCAAGATGAATGTTTCTCTTTCTTTCCCTCTTTAAACATCTTCAACTGGAATTAGAAGAGCCTTAATATGAGGAATCATTTCCATCAACAGAATTTTTAAAAAGTCTCATGTATTAATGGTTTCACATATGTCTATATTCATAAAAATGCCTACAAGCAACGCAACTGATGATCAAAGAATTATTTTTCTATAATTCTTATTATGTTCAGCAAGTCATCTCATTGAAGTGCATCTAAAAAGAATATTTTACTTAAAATATTGGGGTTTTCTAACTGAGACATGGAAATATCTATAAATTGAAACTAATAGCAAATGTTGTACCTGCTTCCCTCATGCTGTGATCACTCTTAAACACTTGTGTTAAGTTGCCATCCCCAGACAAACTCTACCTGCCAAGGTTACTTATATTCTCCACACGGCTTTCAAAAATGCTAGAGAACATTTCACAATGTGGGTGACCACACTGCTGTGACACAATTACTCGTTGCAGGCTAGGCGCTTGACTGAAGACAGGGGGAAGTATGCCAGCAAGGACGGATCACTCCTCTGTGTGTACCAGCAGCTGACTGGACAGCCAGGTCTAATCTGGATGCTGCATAGCTGTGCACCTCAGCGGTGGTGTTTCCACACTAATTCTCCATTTCTTTTTGTACGCCTACACAGTGCCTGAGGAGGCAGCTTACATCCAGGCCCAGACTACAGGAAAATACACATACACAAGTGTTAAGACAATTTCCACAGGTGAAGTCACTAGATGGCCTCAGATCCTGGTTCTCTAACACATATTCTCAATTTTAGGCACTGCTTGTGATTTCATTGAAATCAGGAGAACTACACACATAGTGTAAAGCCTACAAATTTGGCCAAAGACATTGCAAAGGTCAGCTGTAAGTAAAGGAACAAAAGTCGCATTAAATCTCCAAGAACGAATAAAAATCACAGGCAACTACCCTCCTGCCTCCAAGAAGCATCTATTCTTGCTTTCCTTGCTGATTTTGTTGCCAGGGTAGAACACTGATCAATCTTTAAAAATAAATCAATTGCCACAATATTAATTAGACAACAAGGGGGGGGGAAAAGGAAGCAACTATCTGAGTATTTGTAAAAATAACTTAATTTTGGGACAGCAGAAAAGAGAACAAACAGAATTATTGTAAAGTTCTCTACAACCATAGAAGTTTCCTCAGCTGCTGAAGACTGTAAGTAACAACATCTAAAATGAGTTTTACTCATGCAGTACAAAGGAGTTAAGCATGACTGCACATGTAAAAGGACTCCCCATCCTTTCTGAAGAAATCCAGGGGTATTATATACTATGGGACTCCAATCAAGAGCTTGGTAATGTTTATTTTCCTCCATCACTTAAGCTGCATTAGGGCAACGCAATATTCACTAGAAACATCTTACTACATTCCTTCTTTTATACCTTGTATCTTGTAACAAAGGAACTGTTTATTTGTTCAGGGTAGTAACGAAACAGTTAAGATAATCCAGTCACATGTCAACAACCATTAGTTATAAAAACCATGCTAATGTGTTTTTAGTTTATGGGATACTTCTTGAAAACAATTAAAATAATATACAGCACAAACCCCTTTGAAAGTATCTACAAAAATATATATAATCATCTTCAGTTTTTCAATTTCTTTGCTAAATTTGCTAAGACCTGGTACCTACTTTCATGTTTGTACTTCAAGCAGTTACATTTGCCCCTACTTTGCATGGGTTTTAAATAGCTAAATACTAAAAAGTTACTATAAAAGTTAATAAAATGCCCCAAAATGGTAGCTTTCTGAAGAACTGTTTTTATCAATGGAATAATCCAATTTTTTACAATGTGTTATCAGTGTACACAATATGCCTAAAATGGGCTGTAGGCTACAGTGTTCTGCGGACATCACTTACACATTTTCAAAGCTGCTTCAACAATTAAAACAAAACAAAACAGAAGAAACAAGCCAGAAGAAAAGTATCATTACAAAATCTTTGTCTCACTGTAAAGAACAGCATGCTGATGAACTCCACGTTAATGAAACTGTAGGGCGAGTCACAGAATAGCTGTAGAACAATTCATTTCAATGAACTGCATACATGAACAGTCATTTCTTTAGTGCTTCTCTGAACACACATGCAATGCTGTCCATGAGTTACATACTAGTTGCTTGCTGGAGGAAGAACAGTTCTTGGTTTTGATGGTTATTATCAAAAGGTTTCTTAGAGAAGGTATTCAAAAATCTATCTGAATAGCCACTGACCATCAAGATACTTGCCTCCTCACCAAGCAATTCTTGACAAAATTTAATACAGTTAAAGATCAGCCAGGGAGTATTAGCTAAAAATGAATCAGCCTGTAAGCTTCCTTCCACCTTCTGTTTTAATGTGAGAAGCTTTTCAAACGGTTTTGCCATGTACACTAGAAAGATTTCTACAAATATGGAGTGGATGTAGTATTTTCCTTTGCCACATATGGCTTAAAAGAAGAATGGACAGGCACAGATCTGATTCGAACTTTAGCATTGCTTTTTGTTCATAACTTGATGGGTGCTTTCAAGCTTGTAGAACAGCCTTCAACTAATATTTAAGCATCTCTAATCTTCAGAAGGATCCAAAATCACTTTGCCTTAAATTTGCAAGTCAAACAGATCTCCCTGATTCAGGCAGATGAATGCCTTCAAGAGAAGGTTAAACATCAAAAAAAAAAAATAATAACATCATTATAGACTTTTACTGAATCCATTCAATATGGACAGTACAATTATTTTTTGACATAACAACAAGTGTGTTCGCATTAGTTTCACCTGGCTTGATACACTAACTTCAAGCAAGCAGCTATGGAAAACGGGATGATGCTTGGTGATGCTCAGGTCAGCACTCATGCAGATGAGGTTCTATTTTAGATAAAGAACTAAAAGAAAAAAGGGGGATAAAAGAGTACTTCCCTACTTTATAAAGATGTTTGGAAAATAAGCACCCTTTTAAAATAGTCAAGTACTGTTATGTTTTGGCACTCAGGCACTACGATACAAAGGACCACATGACTACCTGCTGAAAATGAAGAGCTTACTGGTTAAAGCTGAAAACGTGTGGCTATCCCTTAGGGTGCAAATTTTATTATATCCTTTCTACCAGGATTTCCCTTAAAATGCTCCAGTATGTTGCACTGAGTCGTTGGTGGTAAGTGTCCCTTGCCCATCAGCTTCACACTCTATAAATAATTCTATGCCCTGGAGTCTCAAGAACAGAAGGGGAAACAGGAACATCACAATCCTCTTCTCAAAGAGAAATCTAAGGCATGAGGACAGTATATCTGCTCATAAGACTAAAGTTCCACTTTTACCTCAATACCACGTTATCAGCTGAAAAACATAACATCGAATGAATACTGGTGAAAATAATCTGAGAAGTAGTGCATCTACTCCAGCAGCCTTCCTCTTTCCTGTCCCATTCTCTTAACTTAAAGTTTATGGAAGGATATACACCTACATCCTACAAACAGGATATAACTCTCTACTGAGACCCTTACCCTCACCTTTCGACTGCATCCATGAATGAGTAACTCCTGAGCTCAGCTCACACACATGCACACACCATTAAGAGGGTGATGAGACTTGACATGCCCTCACTACCACCCAAAGGACTGCGTCCACAGGATTCTCTGCTGCAATGAATTTGGCAGCAGAAAAAAAAAAAGAGAAAGAAGTGTTAGGAAGAAGTATGTAGTTCCATAGAATCTTCTCAAACACATCTTTCAAAATAAGTTTTCCTCATCTGTCCCAATACTGGCACCAAGGAAAAGCTCCCAGCCTTGGACTAAACAAAAGAGGTTCAGAGTCCCTGCTTATACTCTGGTGTCCGTAGCTCTGGCCTTGAAAAATGGGACCCAG